TTGTTTATGACCAAGACATCTAAGGAACCATTGATTCCACTTGATAGAAACTTATAAATTAATTACTCTTAGAAAATTAAGAGAACTTAAAATAGAAAATAGTTGTAGTGATACTTTTGAATTTGTTGATTCATCTCTTGTTGTTGACAATATGGTTGATAATTTGGAAAATTTGAATGGAAATCATGAGGAAAATAATGGAAGTAATAATGGACATAATTTGCATGCCAACAATAATGAAGACAATAGGTCTATTATGGAGACAGCAACCTCAAATTTCAATTATGATGGATTTGGTGTTGTCTTTCCTAATAATGATACATTTGAATTAAAGCCATCTTTGCTTAACTCTTTGCTTAAATTTCATGGATTGGTAGCTGAAGATCCAAACAAACATCTTTAAGATGTTCAGATGATTTTGCATCTATGCAACTTAGTGGAGCGCACATTGATGATGCCATTTGGAGTGTTTTCACTTGACACTAGAAGGAGCAACTAAAAATTGGTTGAGGATTTTACCTCCTGACATTATGTGCACATCTTGGATAGATTTGAGAAGGGCATTCTTAGAGAAGTATTTTCCTACCTCGAAGATTGCATCTTTGAGGAAAGATATCTATAATGTACAATAGGGACTCCATGAGAATTTGCATGAATATTGGCAAAGGTTCTAGCACCCTTTAGTTAAGTGTCCACACCACCAAATCTTAATCGAAAATCTTATGGAGTATTTTTATGAAAGATTGTACTTTCACAATTGCACTTCAGTGGATGCTGGTGCAGGAGGGTCTCTTTTGGATTTGATTCCATTTAATGCTTGGAATCTCATAAAGAAAATGGCTACTAATGCTCAACAGTTTGGTACTTGAAGCAATTCAAGGAGTGTCAATGAAGTGTCTCACTCATGTTTTCATGACTCTCAAGAACTTGCTTCTTAAATTGACAACCTCACATCCACACAATCAATTTTAAGCAAGTAAATGGAAGGACTTCTAAGTATTCGAGTGCCACAAGTGAATCAAATATAGGTGCCTTCCCATATGAACTTACAACTTGCTGTACCATCTTGTTTCCATTGTGGTTCTCAACTCTATATATTTGATGTTTATGAGCATAAATTTGTATCTCAAGATGTGGCTGGGGTGTATCAAAATTGAGGCCCACCTCTATTTCAAGGAAATATAAATTATGATGGATATTCACATAATTATGGTGGAGGATGGAGAGATGCATGCTTCAAACATGAAATTTGCAGGGATTGCCAATGTTTCTCAACCTTACAATTCTCGATTTCAAGAGGAATCCTCTAGTTCAAGGCAAATAATTCACATTCAAGAGAGTAACCTTGATGCTAGGATGGACCAAATGTTGAAGATCCTCACATCTCATGAAGAATCATTCAACAAACAAATGCAAGCTGTTAGTTCTAATTTTGATGGGAAGATTTCACAATTAGCTAAGGGCATTGATCAATTCAAGCTGAGGCAATCTAATGTGAAAACATGTGTTTAACAAAGCACCAATTCTCAAGTTGAAAGACAAGTCCAAGCTATGGGAAGCTTCCTTCCCAATCTATGATGTCCCATGAGTTGTAATATGATCCAACTAAGAAGTGAAAAGGTGTTACAATTTTCAAATTCACCTCAAATTGAAAAAGGCGTAGAAGCTAGAAGATGTCCTAAAGAGGCATGTTCTTACCCCAGCATTGATGATGTAAATGAAGAGGTGAATGAGGAGATCATATGTGACCAACCTCTCACTCGAAAAGAAGGGAAAAAAGGTCAATTGCAATTTGAAAATTCACTTGAAAAGGAATTAAAATCAAAATTACGATAAAGGATTAGGTTGTTAAATCATCTAAGGAAAGTTCATATCATTGATTTTACTCACATATTTTTACATACTCATTTTACTCTACTTATTCTAATTTATTTCATTAAAATAAGCAAATGAAAAAAATAGTAATAGTTTTTATTGTTTTTAGTTTAGATAGTTTGAACAAACCATTACTTATTGTCTTGTTAGTGTTTTTAACTAATAAAATTTTAGAATATTAACTGCACGGTGCGAGTTAACTGGCTGAGCGACGCGAGTTGACGGAGCCACAGAGAAGGACCACTGGACGAACGGATGGTAACGAAGCCACAGGCCGGAGGGAAGGACAGCGGCAGTTTCAGGGTCACTGTGTGAGACCGTCAAAGACAGAGCGATGGGTGCGACGCAACTCAGGTGAGACCGCAGCGCGAGAGATTTGAGAATGAGACAGTCGACGAAGCAAGGCATCTGATTTTGAAAGAAAAAAATTTCCCAAAATGCTGTGTTTTGTGTCTCGTCCGTGTCCGCCCATTCTCGCCCATGTCCGCCCGTTCTAGCCCGTGTCTGAACGTATCAACAGAAAAATAAAAAAAGAGACGCGCCGCATCGGTATTACTCTGATACTGCATGCTTTGACATTATATATATGTATTCAAATTATTATGAGCACTGTATCTTGGTACAGATGATGCAGCAAGAAATAGTGATCAAATTAACATTGGACTGCAACAAATGCAGAAGCAAGGCCCTCACAATTGCAGCCGCAGCTAAAGGTACATGCATGCAAGCCATATTGTCAGAGAGCTTAATTTAGTTCAGTCACGCACGCATGTCCACAATATAATATTGTACCGATCAAGATTGAAAGTGTGATGGAGCGTGTGCGTGCAGGTGTGAATTCGGTGTCAATAGAAGGCAAAGACAGAGACCAAGTAGTGGTCATCAGAGATGGTGGGGTCGACCCGGTTTGCTTGGTGAGGCTTCTGAGGAAGAAGTTCCGGCACGCGAGCATATTGAGTGTGTAACAAGTGAAAGGAGAAAAAAAAGAAGGAAAGAATCAGAAGGAATATCATAATAATAATAATAATAATAATAATAATAATAATAATAATAATAAAGTGCCACTTAATTACTGTCCGGGCCTTCAATGTCCGACATACCCAACCTTGTCTTGTCAAGTAGTTTACGATCCTTATCCTACTAATTTTTGCTCCATTCTCTAGCTAGATTATATGAAATCTGAAATTAAGAGACGGTATTATTCATGATTATATGAGTTTTTGTAAGTGCTTTCATGCATGAATTAATATTAATAATTAGGGTGAGGTTAAATGATGATGATGATGATGATGGGGTTTTGTAATTTTCTTGTTGATTTGTTGCTTGTTTGTGTTCCCTTCTGCCATTTTGCCTAATGAATAAATCTGCTGGAATCAACTCGTGAAATGCAATTAATTTGGAATAGCCTAAATTTGGTTTTGTTGATGCTTTTGTTTGCAGTGTCCGGTAAGCCAAAGTCTTAAATTTGGATGTTGATTGGAACATTTAACGTTGATTACGTGCGGACAAGATACACAAATTTCAGTTTTTGTTTTTTGTTTTAGGGGAAAAATAGACTACATAGATCAGTCTTTAGTTTTTATATTGTAGCTAGCTTTAAAACCCCTCCCCAATTAAAGAAAATCATAAGGTGACACAGACACACATATATTCACATGCATACGCCCGCACAAAAACTGACCCCGATAAATCCAAATATATAAAAATGTTTATATAACCAAAACTGACCCTAATAATTTGAACTTTTAGGCTAGGTCATCTTAAATATCTGAATTGTTGAAGTTTTATTTTTTAAGTCAATTTCAATGTTTATCATAAAATTAAATTTTTTTTATCAAAAATTATAATTTTCATAATAACTGAAGGAGACTTAATTTTTTTTTTGAAAAATAGTGAATTTTAAAATATAAAAATCAGGATTAAAATACATTTTCAAGATTATTTTTAGATATCTTATGGATTAAAAATAATATGAATATAACAATATGCATCTTTTTAATTTTTTAAGAAAGTATCTATAACAATACACTCAAATATAAAGTATATTAATATATATATATATATATATATATGATAAAATAAAAAGTAAATTACATTATCAACAAATCATGAATGTCATATGTTACTGTTCAAACCCTGAACAATTATATAATACATACAAGGGAATCATTTCGATATTCTTGAATATGATCCTAGAAATATTTAATTAAAACAGCATTATTTCGCACTTTTTTTTTTCAAATATTGTGGAAAACAAGTTCGTTCAGGGCAATGGCAGTTGAACTAATATGCCTTGAAAGAAAGCATCCTATAATATAACCAGTTCTTGATGGTGCTATCCAAATACCAACACGACTCTACAAAGATAATCGTTTACCATTTCGTATAAAGACAAGAAAATAACTTCAACTATATCTGAAAAGTGGGTTAGCGTCAGATGCACCGACACACCAAAATGGCCGGCGCGTCCCTTTTCCCAGTTTCCGGCGGACGCGAGCAGATGTGGGTTGACACAGGCGGACGCGGGTCGGACACGGGCGGACGCGAAACTCTGCATTTTTCACTTCTTTTAACTCAGTCCCAGCTCCAAAAATCCGATGCCCTAACATTTTCAGCTCCAATCGACCCCCTTCTCGTGTTTTCTGCTCTGTAGCTTCACTGCCTGTGTTGGTCGTTCTCGTTCTTCATCTCTCACATTTATTCACGCTGCCTCGCCGTCTGCTCTACCTCAGTCTTCGTATTCGACTGTCTGCTCTGCCTCAGCGTCTTCGACCGTCTGCTCTGCCTCTGCCTCACCATCGTTCTTCAGCTTCAATCTTGGTAATTTGTTCAGTTCTTCATGTATGGTCGTTCTTCGATGCGCTGCCTCTCGTTCTTTATGTATCTATCAGATTTGGCTGCTGATTTTGAATTTCTTATTATTGCATTGTTGGATAATTTGCTCACTGCTGAACCGAGAGAGAGCCAGAGCAATTGATTAGTTTTCAAATTTAATACTGAATTACTGATTTAATTTTTTTTATTTAGATAGATTATTTTGTTGAATTAAACATTGATTTATTTTAAATTTTTATTAGCTCTCTTTTTGTTAAAATTGCAGGATATTGTTTAAAATTAAACCTACAATGGCTTCTAATTCTAGACCCGGTAGTAGTTTAGGAAGTGTGAATTCTCAATTTCAATCTAGTAATAAAAGACAGAAAGAGAGTACTCCTTTATGGGCTTATGTAACTTTGGTTCCTCAAGAAAATGAAGGGGATGGTGGAAATAGAAGTTGGAAGTGTAACTATTGTAATAACCAATATAATGGCTCTTATTCTAGAGTTAAATTTCATTTGTTGAGGATCTCTGGAAAGGGTTTTGCTATATGCCCGAAAGTTGATGATAGTTGTTTAGGTGAAATGCGAAAAGCTCAAGAGGAGGCTGAGAATAGAACAAAACCAAGACATGTGCCATTGCCAACTCCAACTGAGAGCTTGTCTCCTTTATGTCAAAGGGGTTCTACCCCTATTCAAAGTGAACACAATCAGGGAAAAAGGAGGGCAATAAATACAATAGAAAGAGCTTTCCAACAAGGAGCTAGAGATAATTTAACTGCTGAAATTGCTAGAATGTTCTATTCAGCTGGCTTGTCTTTCAATTTGGCACGTAACCCATATTTTATTAGTGCATTTCAATATGCTGCCAACAATGTAATTCCTGGTTTTAAACCTCCTGGTTATAATGCACTAAGGTCTACTTTGTTGCAAAAAGAAAGGGCCAATGTTGAAAAGCAACTTGAATCAATTAAAGGGACTTGGAATCATAAGGGGGTAAGTATAGTTACGGATGGTTGGACAGATGTACAAAGAAGGCCATTAATTAATTTTATGGCTGTAAGTGATGGAAGTCCTATGTTTTTGAAGGCAATTGATGCAACTAGTGAGTATAAAGATAGATTTTACATGGCTGACTTGATAAAGAAAGTGGTTGAAGAAGTGGGGCCTCATAAAGTTGTTCAAGTAATTACTGATAATGCACCTATTTGTAAATCTATTGGTAAGATGGTGGAAGATGAATATCCTCACATCTTTTGGACACCATGTGTGGTGCATACACTTAATCTTGCCTTGAAGAATATATGTGCAGCAAAAAATACAGAGGCAAATGAAATTGTTTATGGAGAATGCTGTTGGATCACTAAGGTGAGGGATGATGCAGTCTTTATCCGAACATTTATCATGAATCATTATATGAGATTGGCCATGTTTAATGAATTCGTGCCATTAAAATTGCTTGCAATAGCCGAAACAAGATTTGCATCAACAATTGTGATGTTGAAGAGATTCAAACTTATCAAAACTTCTCTTCGTACACTGGTTATTAGTGAAGAATGGAATGCTTATAGAGATGATGATGTTGGAAAGGCTGCTACTGTGAAGGACATAATTCTTAATGATCTTTGGTGGGAGAAGGTTGATTATATTCTCTCTTTCACTAAACCAATTTATGATATGTTGAGATTTGCTGACACAGATAGACCCACACTTCATTTGATTTATGAGATGTGGGATTCAATGATAGAGCAAATCAAGGAATCAATTTATAAGCATGAGAGAAAATCACTTTCTGAGTACTCTTCATTTTATGAAGTTGTTTATAACATCATCATTGATCGATGGACAAAGAGTGCCACTCTACTACATTGTCTTGCCCACTCACTGAATCCTAGGTGTGTTATTCTTATTTTTGATCATGAAATTCTTTTCTTTATCATTTTTACATCACAACTCCAATTAATGTTATTATATTATTGTAGGTATTATACAACACAATGGCTTGAAGGTGGACTAAATAGAGTCTCTCCACATAGAGATGCCGAAATATCAACTGAGAGGAAAAAGTGCATTAGAAGGATGTTTCCAGATGAAGAAGAGAGGAAATTGGTTATGAATGAATTTTTAAAATTTTCTAGATGTTCAGATGAGTTCTCTTTTGTTGATTCCATACAAGATAGATGGGTATTAGAGCCTAAGGCTTGGTGGAGCAATCATGGTGCTGATGCTCCTAAACTTCAAGGGACTGCATTGAAACTTCTCAATCAACCATGCTCATCATCTTGTTGTGAAAGAAATTGGAGCACTTACTCTTTTGTTCATTCACTAAGGAGAAATAAGATGCTTCCAAAAAGAGTAGAGAACTTAGTTTTTGTTCATTCAAATCTTCGTCTTCTTTCAAGAAAGAGTGAGAAGTATTCTACTGGAGAAAGTAAATTGTGGGATATTAGTGGAGATTGTTGGGAAATAGATGATGTTGAAAATCTTGAAGTTGCAAGTTTATCTCTAGATGAGCCAATTTTGGAGAGAGAACTTATAGGAGAAAGTGGTGGTGTCAATGAAGATGAGGAAGATTAGAATTACTTTAAGTTGATAATTATCTTTTGCCACTTGATAGTGTTTAAGTGCTTGATTATTTATTGTATTATATTTTGTTATGGCATTAGACATCTTGAAATTGTGTTTTTAGACATCCAAATATTTAATATTTAATTATTTATATAGCCGTACCTGTATCCTAAAATTTTGGAAAATAGCCGTGTCCGCATATCGTATCATATCGTACCCGATACTCGTACCCGTATCGGTGCTTCTTAGGACTTAGCACTTAATTTGCAGAACAAACTAGTTGCAGAGAACAACACTCGAGAGAAAAATGTTCAATTTAGGTGTATGATGATGTATGATGGAGGATAGGGCGTATTGCAACTTTGAAGTCTTAGTAGAATCTCTGCCGTGTCAATCCATTTTCACGTTATCTTAAGAACTTTTTCAAGACTTGAATAGTTGCGCGCGCGCGCGCGCATATATGCATATTTTTTCTTTCTGGTTCCTTTCATGGCCAAAGCCCTACATGGCTCCATGAAAGTAGGTAGATTGATGGAGAACACAAAGACATAGAGAAGTCGTCTCTTACATGCATGGCCTCAGAATCAGGCCTTCAGTAGGTACCATTTTGAAATAGACCAGGCTATTTTACACTTCATAATTTTAGAAGACCTTCTATCTTAAAATCTCATTGAATTGCTATAAATAGCATTAAGATACAGTATAATGATCATACAAGAGTACTAGCTATGGTCTCTCTCTTCCTGTGCTCTTACACTTGCTATAAACATTATGAGTTATAAAAAAGTAGATGAAAAAGGTTGCATGACTTGAGCATATAGAGATATTCATTTTTTTTTGGTAAAAAATATTCAGCAGTCAGCAAAGGCAAGAAGGTGTGTCAACAAAAATTAAGAATAGAGCAGAAGAAATATCACATTTTATGTCATTATAAGAAAAGAAATAATTATAATCTATTGACAAATGTTTTTTGTACATGTGGATTTTGTTTATAATTTTAAGACAATCAGTGTTGAAGATATTTTTCGAGAACAATGACATGTAAAATGCTCATAAAAAGATTAATGCCAAATCAAGTTTTTTTTAAAAGATTTTAATACTAAAACACGAGAAAACAGATTGTGAGTTTGGGAACCTTAATTGGAAAAAGATTCTACTTAATTTTTTATGAAGTCCTTAATTAACATTTTCCCTATTTTTTTTTCAAGAGAATTATAAATAAATCCCTCTTAAATAGGAAAGTGATAATTTGGTTCTGTGAAATGTGATAATACTTTTTAAGAGACCTAATTGTCATTAAAATTTTCGATAAAATGACAAAAAATACTTCTTAGTTTTAAAAAGTGAAAAAAAAGAGTTATTGCACGTGCATGTTTGCGAACACACACACACACTATATATATATATATATATATATAGGTACAAATCTGGGTCTATTTCTTTTTTATTCTAATTGTCTTGGTTTGGTTATGCACTCCTCTATTTTTATGCTAAGGCTTTAGCAATTAGCATCCTTGTTCTTGCACATTCAAAGGAAACACCGGCACCATGTACGTGGGTTCTTCGAGAAGGCAAGGAGCATGCATACTGAGGCCCACTGGTGAAATCCATATAAATCACAAAGCCACGCCACCATTCACAGATTGGAACATTAGGAAACTTGGGGATCAAAGTTTTCTGAGCCTGATAGAGTGTGCTGATTACCTCGGTTATAACAAGTAGTGAGGTGAAGGATAGGTGTGATGATCCTTTTCCTCTTGGTAAGTGCAGCAGCTTCAAGTTTTCAATACTAATGGATAAGAAACCCAACACCATGAATCATCAAAGAGATCACAGTAATCATTACCCTATGACTATGGGAAGCCACATTCCAATTTTGGGAGGAGGCTACTCAAACACTGGGATGGAGCTACTGGGGGAGCAATTTCTGATTATGTTCATGAAATCATCAGTGATTTGCAGAGATCTTCATGGCTGAATTGGGTGATTTTAAGAATATGAATACGATATCCTTAGCCTTGTCAAATGGTTTTGGAGCTGGAAATAACCAATCCTCTCTGTCTCAGATGATTGTTGCTAAAAATTTTATGGCTTCTAGTGGCCATTTTGCTGTATCTTATGTGGACCCCACGCCATTAGCTGCACTTGTGAAGCTTTTTGGTACGTAGTTTGATAAAAATTCATGTATCTTGAAATATTATCTATCAAGTGAGTGGGGAAAAAGTAGCGTTGGGATCCTCTATTCATTCTGTGTTGCTTATTAACATTTGTACGGCTTTAGATATGCTTATAGATATTGGTAATTGTTCTTTTTAAAAGATAACTTGTGAGAACAATGTATGCTTCGTATGCCAATGCTATTTATTTTATGTTAAAAATCATAAATATGTATTCCTTTTTTTAAATAAACATAAATATATGTATTCTAAATTTGAAGAAAAAAAGTAATTTTTAATATTTGTTAAGTAGTGGAAGGCATCAAAATCCCTACAAAACTTAAAAGGAAAATAATGAGAAACAAGAAGGGGAAGAAAGTGAAAGAAAGATAAGGGAAGCTGAAATTTTTGAAAATTCTTATTTAATAATCATCAAAAGTTTTGGATGATTATTTGTTACTAAAAGTTGAATACAGAACTTCAAAATAATAAAATAATAAAAATTAAACTTCAAATCTTAAATTTAATTTAGGATTAAAGGACAAAAATGTTTCAAGACTTTTTCTTAAAGGGTGTCTGATATTCTAAACTTTTATTTGAAGTAATTTTATTTTGAAATTTTAAAAAATGGAACAATTTTGCCTTGCTGTCTTGACCATGAGTTTGACTTTGATTACTAAGTTGATAGCCACTTGGCATTTTTTTAAAAAAATTTAAAAAGAAAGGAATCCAAGTGAAAAACTCATCTCAAGTTGATTGCTTGAATTGGACTAGAAGATAATTTTTATGATTGAGCCGGATTGGACTTGTAACATCCTAAAAAACTAATCAAAATTAAATTGAGTAAAAGAAAGTAATTAAGAAAATTAATGTGGTGTGTAATTAGAGGGTTCTAATATGTGTATTTGATTGTGATTTCAGTTCTAAATTTAGAACAACTACTAGCTTTCAAATCAGCAAGCAAAAACCCAAACAAAGAAGATATAGCTATAGAGAGCCATCCTAAAGGACACACTTTCTTAGAGCCTATCACTGCTAAAAAATTAGTAGCTTTATTACCTTGACGAGCCACCAAGGAGAACCTTATATCCTTGCATAATTCTTTGATAGATAGTATGTCCTGCAGAATCTGAGAACAATGCCAATCAAAATCAATACTCAGTCGACCTGTAAGCATGCGAAACAGAACCTCACAAACCATCTCAATCAAGATCTTCATGCCACTAAATCTACTTGCTTCTTTCAAGCCTTCTAAAACTGCAAAACATTGAGCCATAGGAGACGAGACAACTTCCACCTCCTTGCTATTACCACCTAAAAAAAGCCCATTCTCATCTTTGCAAATAAGACCGTGGCACAGAAACCGAATGAACAACAAGCAATTCTTATTCTCTGAAGTCTCCTCTTTCACAAGTCTCAAGGTCCTATTTATAGTCCTAGAATACGTGAAACTGAACCATACAAATTTAAAGGGGAGTTACAGAATTTAAGGGGCGGTTACAAAGAGTTTATGATGCTCATTATGTGTGCCTTCCGTTTTAGCTCGTTTCTTGCTCTTTCTGTTTCATTTTGCTCTTTTCGTTTCAGACCGATACTGGAACATTTCAAAGAATTATTAAAGGAACCATTAACATTTATTTTAACCTCACCAGATAAGGGTCTTTGCCAAGAAACGCTTCTATCAATATGATCTTCCACATCACCTTGTTTCTTTTGCTTCCCAATAATCTTTAAACTTAAGCACTCATTTAATAATCTCGTAGCATTCTCAACAACTCTTATAGCCTCCACGTTATCCCAATTAAACATCCAATCACACCTTCTCTTCCACATTTCATAGCAAATGATAGCAAATAAGGCTCTCTCATGCTCACCAAACAACTTATCATCACATCAAAATATAGAAAACCAAGCTGCCACACAAGAAATATTACAATCAGACACTAAAATCCCTAGATTACTACCAAACCAACAAGCCCTTACCTGAGGACAGCCACACAATAAATGTTCGATAGTCTCCTTACAACCAAGACAAATAGGACAGCTAGAATCACCAGCACATTTTCTGCAACCTAAGGCACATTTTGTAGCAATAGCAACATTAAGCACCCTCCAAATATTAAAAGCTTTACAATCACGAAAATCCATACCTCCTTCCAGCTTTGATTTAGTTAGCATGCTCCATCTTCTCCAGCGAATCCACCTTTCTCACCATGGCCCCACCAGAAATCTAAAATCAAACTATCCAACTCTTTACAAGTTTTAATAGGAAAAGAAAAGCATTCCATAAGATAAACCGGAATGGCATTTGCTACAACCTTAATCAAAACTTCTATTCTTGAAAAATTTAACAACCTTTGTCTCCAACCCTGAATTTTCAAACCCACCTTATTCCTAACAAAAGATAAAGAAGCAGCCTTAGAACGACTCCAAATAATACATAAACCAAGGTATTTTGCATGTTGGTTTGCAAAAAAAATTTGTTTAACTGAAGAAATTTCATCTCTCAAGTCTTGCATTAGCAGGAAAAAAAAACAGCAAGATTGATCCAAATTAATCATTTGTCAAGAAGAAGCACAATAAATATCAATGATTTTCTTCAAAGCCAAACAATTATCCTTATCATCTTAAGAAAAGAGAGTCAACTGCAAAAAAACAGATGTGACAGCGCTAGAAATGTAACATCCACCCTCTTTGAGAAGCCTGTTAGAACTATTTTGTGGGCTTAAGGATAGGATAATATGTCATTTAAAATAATTTAAATTAAATAGTTAGGATTGAATGAGAAATCATAATTTCTTAACTTTTTGGACTTATTTAATATGAGGAAGAAATTATGTCATGGTAATTTGA